CTTTGAAAATGAAGCGAAATTGTATTGTTGAAAAATCGCTCGCAGTATGTTATTTGTTGATCACAAATCACTCGCACTACGTTTGTCCTTGTATTTGTAATGCATAATGGCGCAAGAAGGATAAAAATACCACCGTTCGATTCAGCGTAAGAAATTGTACTAATTACGAATGTCAAATTGTATTACTATAAAACAACAGTGTTCTAGCGATTTATGGCCTTTGTCTTTGAAAGCCAAGCGAAATTGTATTGTTACCAATCGCTCAAAATTATTAAACTAATTATAAAAAAATGCAGTACGTTTGACCCTTGATAACTTTGATATCATTGGTTTTCTCTTTTTCGGCCGTATACCAGTGGATTCGTCTCACTTCTCGCTTCATTTTGATAGCATTTTGAGCCCAAAAGCCCCCAAATATTTTATTTTGAACGTTTTAATTAAAGCGAAGTTTAATCCTAGACCAACTGGCGGCTGACAGTTTTGAAGAAGAATGTAGCGTACTAAATATAACTTTACTTGTAGGGCCTACCGCATTTTAGTACTGTGTTATTAAGCCTTTCGCGCTCGTGTTCGACTTTTCCGCTTAGCTCGGGAAAGAGCTGTGTACTGTATGTATCATGTACATTGTACAGTAATGTGCGTAGTTGTATAGCCCCAGCGAGTTAACGCTCCGTAGAGCGTCTTGTTCAATTAAGGTTGTCCACGAGCAAAGCGGAAAGTCGAATACGAGTGCGAAAGGGCGTTGTGAAAACCCGGAATATCACGGAATATGGCGGAATATCACGGAATATGGCGGAATATCACGGAATATGCCGGAATATTGCGACATTTTCCCGGAATATACCGGAACATCACGATATTTTCCAATGGTAGCCATGGGCATGTACTAAAAGGCGAAACGTCGAAACGAAACGACCGAAACGAAACGGCCGAAAATGTAAATTACAGGAAAATTGAAAAATGCGGATACGGACGGACGGGAGGGGGACAGGCGGATGGACGGGGGGACAGGCGGATGGACGGGGGGGACGGCTTCATTTGACACGAAACTCAATTTTAAAATCAAATCCGCGTTTTGTTGAAAGGGATATATTAGGATATATTATAATAGACTATTATTAATCGTAATAAATTGTCCGCGAAAAGTTGATAAATACATGTGGAAATGCGGGGTTTTTCAAACCTTCGTAACGCTTGATCGGATAAAACGCGGATATGCTGCAACTTTCATGCTTAATTTTCTCAGTCATCTGGGTATGTAGTAATCTAATTTTATGCAATGTAATGTGTTATATTTTCAAGGGCTTTTCAATGCAGTTATCGGTTTAAATATACCTAAAATTCCCGTTAAGAGATATGACAATTGCCGTACGGACTACTTTTACGCAAACGCAAATTACAACTGCAAATTTCATCAGCACATCACATTGCCATAAAATTACATTACTACTAGCCTGCGAACCGAGAGCTCAGCTTGAGAGCCTGCATCGATGACTAATGAATTTGAATATCTGCCCCGTAACGTTCATTTTTCCAAATATGGAATGTCTATCCTTATATGGTGTTGTTTACAACTTTCGTGCAAACTAAATTTAGACCGTACATTTTATACTGTTTTTCGAAATATAAGATATAAGACGGCCTTGATATAAGACGGCCAAGACCAATTTAATCAGTTAATGTGTTTTTTATGCATAGTGCTAGCAGTTGACATATATAGAGCTCAGCGGAAACATATAAATTATAGCATCTGACCAATGAGAATTTCGCGTCACGATTTGAGACGCAGATATTCAAATTCATTAGTCATCGATGCAGGCTCTCAATTCAGCTTGAGAGCCTGTTCGCAGGCTACATTACTACATGCCCGGATAACAGAGAAAATTAAGCATGAAAGTGGCAATTGTAGCTAAACATATCTCTTAACGGGAATTTTAGGTATATTTAAACCGATAACTGCATTGAAAAGCCCTTGAAAATATAACACATTACATTGCATAAAATTAGATTACTACATACCCAGATGACTGAGAAAATTAAGCATGAAAGTTGCAGCATATCCGCGTTTTATCCGATCAAGCGTTACGAGGGTTTGAAAAACCCCGCATGTATTTTATCAACTTTTCGCGGACAATTTATTACGATTAATAATAGTCTATTATAATATATCCTAATATATCCCTTTCAACAAAACGCGGATTTGATTTTAAAATTGAGTTTCGTGTCAAATGAAGCCGTCTCCCCCCCCCGTCCATCCGCCTGTCGTCCCGTCCATCCGCCTGTCCCCCCCCGTCCATCCCCCTCTTCCCCCGTCCATCCACCTGTCCCCCCCGTCCATCCGCCTCTTCTCCCGTCCATCCGCCTGTCTCCCCCGTCCGTCCGTATCCGCATTTTTCAATTTTCCTGTAATTTACATTTTCGGCCGTTTCGTTTCGGTCGTTTCGTTTCGCCTTTTAGTACATGCCCATGGCTACCATTGGAAAATATCGTGATGTTCCGGTATATTCCGGGAAAATGTCGCAATATTCCGGCATATTCCGTGATATTCCGGCATATTCCGTGATATTCCGGCATATTCCGTGATATTCCGGCATTCCGGGTTTTCACAACGCCCTTTGTCCCCGTATCATTGAAATATAATAGTTACCCATTCTCTTTGTTTGAAACATTAAGTGGCTGTCTCACTAAGAACCATGCAGAGCGTTTCAGGTTGAAAATTAGATTTGCTTTATATTTTTACCATGAACTACCTTTGTCCTAGTGTCCTAAAAGGTATTAAACTAATATTAGAATTTCTAAATTTTTCTTTTTTTTTTAGTTATGACGAATTTTTGTCTGAACGTCAGCGACACTACGGCACTACCCTGGATTCCAGACCCTTCGACAGTAAATAATAAATTGAAATGTCGCGAAGGCTCTGGTTCCAGAGCCTTCGCGACATTTCAGTTTATTATTTACTGTCGAAGGCTCTGGAATCCAGGGTAAAGCGACACTGAAATATGACCCTGAATACGGCGGTCAAATGTATGTTAAATTGTGCATCATACCTCGGAAAGTTTCGCGTCAAATTAAAAACTTTTTTCAGCGTATTAAGACATATTCTTCTTCTTTTAGAATGTTGAAAGAATTTGAATGTACATCTTATTTTAAGCCTACTAGTCTCCATCCAAGGAAGTCGGTATTTTCGTTCGCCGAACAACTAATGATTAGGTACAGTCAGGGAGGCAGAGGGTCAAAAATGTGTGCACACTTACCTTCTCGAGGGACCAATTCTTTTGTTGATAATATTGTAGTTTAGATGTCTCTTGAAATTATTTCAAATGTTGTTTTGGCAGATTTTTCTTGTGTAACATGTTAAACATGGTTTTCTGTCTGACTTCAACACGTTCGAAACAGCGCCATTTTGTTTCTAATTTTGGCACAAGAAATGAGTCCACACTATTTCGATCAGCGGTCTACCCGGAAACTTCAAGTATGCAAATTATTATGCAAAATATTCATGCCTTCGCACGTGTAGTGAAAAAGTGTCAAATTAAAAGGTTTTTCTTTGAAAGTTTTAAAAAATTATGTCAAAAAAGACAAAAACAACTATTTCCTTGGATGTTAAGTTGAATTTAACACCACCAAAGCGAAAAAAAAAGCTCCTAAAGCGCAAATGTATCCTTAAATGTAAACTTGAAAAGGATGAACCCAGCATCAGGTTTAGTAAAAAGTCGCGAGAAGTTGTTTATCGAGCTGCACAGCTTCGGAATGATGACACTGTTATTGCCATCCTTGATTCTTTTGGGGAAGAGCTACCTTCAGTTGATTATGGATATCACAGGAAGTGTTATCAGAAATACACCAATAAGAGGCTTTTAGAAAAGTTGAATGAGGAAGTCATCGAGCCTGAGGAAACAGTTCAAACCGTTGAGCTTGAAGCATCGACATCGGCCGAGAGTATCCTGCAGACTCCACGTACTTCGTCCAGAAAGAGAGGTCGTCAAGGTATAATTATTGCGTTTTATTCTATAAAATATAGTGCTTTATAGAGATTTTGAGCACTGATAAAAGTGATAATCTCACATGTGGGATTATTCATGATAATTTCACATATGAAAATTATCGCTTTTCAATTATCGCTTTTCTGGAAAGATTATCGCTTTTCAAAGACTGTCCTTTAACCCATTAAGCGCCAGCGCTCTCCCCTTGACGTCTGGCGTTAGACAGAGTAAAATGCTAAAGTAGGGTGCATCAGGGTGCAATGCGACTCAATGGGTTGATATAATAAACAGAAAAATACATGGGTGCTTGGAAATACCAGATTTATTTCTCGTGTTGAACATGATATATCACTCGTTCGCTGCGCTCACTCGTGGGATATCATGTTCAACACTCGAAATAAATCAGGTATTTCCGCGCACTCATGTATTATTCTCTATAAATATCGTGTATATATAGAGAATATTACATGGTTGCGAGGAATTATGAAATTTATTTCGAGTATTGAACAGGCCCGTAGCTGAGGGGGGCCTGGGGGGGCAATGCCCCCTCACTCGGTGGGGCAGTGCCCCTCAGTGCCCCCCCCCCACTCCGAAATTTGGTATTAAAAATTGAGATAAAGGACGTGGAAACCAATGGTAATCATGGGACAAATTCTGTAAATTTTGTGGTTAATTTTGCGATTTTTCGAAAAATTTTGTTAGTTTTCTGAAAAATTTTGTATGTCCGGAAAAAATTGGTATGTCCGGAAAATTTTTTTGACCCTTAAAGCGGTACACCGACCGAAATTTTGGGGGGTGGGGGGGTGGGGGGGGAGGTCGCCAAAATAAATTAGGGAAAAAAATTTTTCTCATATCAAACCCTCCGTTACATTCTTTCTGCAGTGCCCCCCCAGAAATTGAGAGCCAGCTACGGGCTTGGTATTGAACAGGGCGTCTCGCAAGTGAGCGCGACAAATTGTTGTGTGAAAATGTACCTTAACAGTGATATCGTCGTCATATAGGTAAAATTTTGGCTGATCACGAGTGCTGCATCTGTGGAACGAAAAAGACTGCGCGAACTGGAAGTGGATATGAGCCGCTGAGAAAATGCGTAACGGAAAATGGCGCAGAAACATTAATGCAACAAGCAGAAAAAGATGACGAGTATCCTTCTTTACGTGCAGAAGTTGCTGGTGTCGATTGGCAGACCATAATAGCAAGAGAATACTACTATCACAAATCTTGTTACAAGAAACTTGCCAAGAAACGAGTACCAAACGCAGACGCAGATAACGCGGACGCCGATAACGCGGACGAAGATCTAGTTTTTCATGAAGTTACAAGGCACATCGCAGAAAAAGTTATTGATGGCTGTGAAGTCGTACGGGTGAGTGATATTTCAAAGATATTTTCGGAGATAGCAGATCGATTTTCTGGCGACAAGGATAGCGTTGTTTTGATGACGGCTCAGAAATTAAAGGAGAAAATTCAAAATTATTTTGGAGAGAGGGTAGGATTCTGGCGTCCATCGTACGGTAGCGAATTGATGTTTAATAACAATATCGAGAAGGGAAAGTTGGTCGAAATGACTGTGTGAGCAAAACTGGCAAATCAAAAATGGGAAGACAAAACGCTTGAGGAGAAAACAACAGAAGTCGCGCGAGAAATCCGAAAGGAGTTATTAGAAATTCCAAATACTTATTGCAGGTAAAATGACGATCTCAAAACAAGAATACAAATATATTCACCCTGAACCGTTTTACTGATGAGAAAACTGGAGACATTGTTTCCAATCTTATTTTCTGTTTTATCTGTCAACTTCTCTGACATGCAAAAATCATTCATCCCGGCAAATGTTTTCCCCTCTTATTTAGGATGAATGCCGAAAAGGCTTATTTCAAATTTCATATCAACATCTTGTTGTTTTTAGTTGGCCGCCATCGGAAAAGGAATTTTTATCGAATGAAACGCACATTCCCAATTTGACAACTCGTTTATTGGAAGGAATTCTTGTCAAGAAAACAGCAAAGTCGGCCAAAGTCTCGCGCTTAGTTTCTTCAACGGGGCAAGACCTTATATACCACACTAACAATGGTCAAAAGCACACATCAAAACACACCGCATTTTCGTTTTTGATTAAAAGGAAGACCGGCTCAAAGCAAGTTATTGGTTGGACAAATAAGTTTGGACATGGAATCTCTTATAATGATGTTCTTCTTATTGAAACGCACTTGGCGATGGAGCACACTCAAGACCAACTCCATAGATCTTTTACTCCTTCAATCATTCAACCTTCGCATTTCGTTACATTCGTTTGGGATAATAACGATATTAATCCTGAAAGTCTTAAAGGTTTTACACTGCATTGCACCAACGGGATTATCATACAATCATCAACAGCTCATTTGAATTCGACCGAGCAGCCATCTTCCAATACACGTATAGCAACTACTGCGAAGAGGAAACCAAGGTCCTTCCAGCCCATACATAATGTATCGCCCCCTACATTCAAGTTAAACGAAAGTGTACGGAAGCTCCAACGGATGTTGATTTAAATTTATATGAAGAAG